CAACCACAACAAGCACAAACCCCTCCCTTCTTAGTTCGTGTAACTGTCTTTTTAATAACTACGATATGCAGTAATTTTTATTTTGCTATGTCAAACAGTACTTGTTCATTCCCTGAAAAAAAAACTATACTTATTCATATACTTGCAGAAATAGGAGAGGCCATCTCGGCCATACTATTTCTTAAATGATGCAAGCATAAGAATGTACAACTGAAATGTTTAACTATTTTCTGCTTGAGTAGTTGTTAAAAATTATCTGTTGGTTGCATCTACCTACGATATAGCGATCATAACATTTTTTTTGGTGACCAAATAGCGACCATAAGTTAGGCAAGTCTTGTTTTTTTGAGTGAGGGAAGTCCTGGCTAATATTGTTGGCTTTTGATGGCTTGATCAATTCACCAGAGAGCAGCAACATACATACGTGCAAGCTAGCTAGCTAGCAGTCACCTAGATTGATGAACAGTGGCCAAGCACATGCACAGATACTTCAGTTACGCTACTAGAATCTGGTTTTGTCCCGAGTTATTCTAGTAGTGCCTTATTATCTCTCTCTCTCTCCATTTTAGGTTGTTGCACTATTCATTTTTGTTTTTCCTATGCACTTGATATTATTGTGAGTAACATAGACCTAGGTCGTTTGAATAAATGGTTGTTGTATCAGGCACCACGTGTTGATGTTGAAATGAAGGATGGTGCATTGGAACGCCAAATCATGGGAGCGCCTAAGTCAGGTTGCGATTGCAAGACAGCTTGTTTTCCCTATTATTGGTTATTGGTCCTCCAACCTTTTAACCTATGTGTTCTTAATTTCATTGAAGGTGGCGTGGCTGAGAATAGCAATGATCAGATTCGTGATTCCGTGGTAGAGATTAAGAAAATACGGGATTCTATTGTATGTTATATGTCTTCTCTTTTGTTTCAGGAAAAAAAATGATGCTTGTTTTTCTTATATTTTGTTCTAGTTGAGAATCTTATGTAAATTCATCCCCTCTTTGTTTCAGCTTCGTAAGGAATTCACACTTCAAGATGGAAGTGCTCAATGTGATATGGACATTCATAAAATTAAGATGGACATTCAGAAAATTAAGACTGGTATTCTACCATTTTACACATCTAAACATCGTTAGATTGATAATCACTTCTAGAATTGTCACTGTTTTGTGGCAAACATTGTGGGCATGTTTTGCTGGGAGCCATATATTTCCCAAAGTTCTATGTTAAAGTGTCATATTCCTCACTTTAAACTGTGGACAAATCGTCTGTTAGAAGTGTGGCATATTTTGGCAAGAAGTTATTTCTATATGAGTTCATAGTTTAAAATCGTCGGCGAACAGAAATTGCGGCAGGTATTTGGCCACGATGAGTAAGGAAGGAATGCCGCAATCTCCGGCAATTTCCCATGCCATGCAGATCGCGCAGCCGTTTCAGATTCGTGATAGCGCCGCTATTGCGGCAGCGTCGTCCATGATTTTAATCTATGTATGAGTTCAACATTTCCATTACTCACCATGTTTAAACCTTATGCAGAAAAGAAGATGACAAAAGAAGTGTTGTCAACAATGAAGAAATATAAGGAACCTATCTCAAATATAATGAAAGTTGCCAATCTAACTTTCTCTGGCGATGATGGGAAAACCAAGAGCACTAAGAGAATGGAATTGAAATTTAAGGAGGCACTCGCACAACGCGATAAATGCATGGTAAGAAACTTCGCGCTGAACTGATGCATTAAAATTTTAAATGCCATCTGTACCTTTGACACTTGTCAATGCAGGAGCTTAATGATATCTGCTGTGATTGCGATTGGATGGCCCCTAGATACACAGTACTACCTTCACTAGCAGATGGTATCTCTAAATACCTTTACTCTTATCTCTTTAATTTTCCAAATGGACACACATTGAGTTCTTGGACCATATAGGCACAATAATAAGAATTTCATTGAAATTGGTCTTGTGCCACGTACTTTCTGATTAGCGTTTGTTGAATCCAATCCGTATAGCACCCCTTGGGCTAAAGAGTTTTCAAAAGGTCATATCTATAAACCACTTGTCTATGCTCTATTCAAGTGTTAGGTTTATTAAACATCACGGTTCGGTCCATGGTTACCAAAGACATGTGTCGCGCCGTTGTCGGATCTATTAGAGATCACCTCTACTCATTTCATTGCATTCCACTTGTCAAGAACTGAATAGGTTTCCAGCTAGCAAAAACCAGAACTGTTGTTTGATTTAGTTCACTCTGTACGTTCGGTTTACAGGGTTCGGTTTATACGTTTTTTCGGTTTGTATAGTATTAATACTTTGGTAAATATGGTATGAAATTTAGATACGGTTTGGTTTCAATATATACCAAATTATTTTGGTATGGTTTCGGTATATACCATAAAACCAAAGTTGACGCGAATTTGAAAATGACATATAATAGTTTGCAAATTTGTGACTCAAAACACATATCTTTTTTATACAAAGAGTATATAACTATATGCGACTGTATATGCATGCATGGATTGGATGGTTATGGACATGCAAAGCATTCTTATTAAGAGGAATATGATTCGTTACAAGAAAATTGGATGCGCTTAACATGAAATCTAGTTTATGTACAAAAAAGGACTACACTATGGTTGTTCTCCCCAAGAAATATACATATTTTTTTACTTCGGTTTATTCGGTAAACCATACGGTTTTTTGGTATATACCATAAAAACCAGAATTCAAAACGATATAAAAAGTTCATACCATACCGAAATCATAAACCATAAAAAATGGTTCGGTTTGGTTTACTTTCGGTTCTGTTTTAAAATGCACAGGGTGAGATTTAGTGTCACATTGTTTTCTGAGCACTTATCCACCAGTTACTCTCCTATCTTTTCAGGAATGCACGTCGGCGAAGTGCGTTTGAAATGCCCTGATTTTGAGATGAGCATCACTAGCGATCCTTGTCCAACCCCACATGATGCGAGGTGCTCTGCAGCTGCCAATATGATATTGGAGCTTGGCAAGAAGGTGGAGGACAAAGAACATCATGCTAACTGATGCAAAGTTGCTAGCTGGGAACTAGCAGGCGCCGGGGCCAATATTACCAAAGAGTGAAATAAATCAACTTAGCTATTTGTTGTTGTGATGTATGAACGACTTAATGATTTGTGTTGTGCGAGTTTCTACTGTATTGCATTGTGGCACATGTGTGCCAACCATGTGCTCAAACGAATTATTTTTACCATTATTTTATTGAAGTTTTCTTTGTTTTGGGAACTCATTCAAACTTGCTTTTGGGCGGAAATTCAATTATGTGCATATGATTGGGTTGCATTTTCCCAAAATTATAGCACCTTTTTGGAAGGTTGCTTATTGTTCTAATTTAGAAATTGTATTCCTGTTTACTTGCTAGGTTTTGCGAGTGAGGCATTTTGGAGCTTGAATTTTTCTAAATATTAAAAACCATAGTTCAAAGTCTGAAAAAGTCATAGATTTTTATACATATATTCATATGAATGCATTCTACAAGTGTAAAACGTTTCATGATGAAATACGTTAACATTTGAGCCACACAAAATGGAAAATTTGGGAATTTTCAATAATGAACAATGTATGTACTCTTCACAGCTATCAAAGTTATGAATTTGGTTTTTGGTAGTTCACATGTTAACATATATCACCATTAAACTTTGCATACACGTAGACTATATCGATATAAACATGTGGAGTTATTTAAAAAAAATTGGAAGTCCAAATTGTGAATTTTGATCTTTTCAAATAAAAAGACAAACAAGCTCAATACAGCCCCAGCTCTGAAATGAACTTCCGAGGTTTTGCATCCTTTCTCGTTAACAGTGAAGTACACCAATATTTGTTATATCTATCCAAATATGTTATTCCCACTGCCTGTGGGAGCTCTCTAAGGTGGGCCAGAAAATTTCCTATTGTTTATTTAATAGAGTATAACCATATTACTATATTAGTGGTGAAATGGCCGACCAGGAGCACTATAGACAAACCACCTTAACGATGATGACCATATGAGTATGTGAACTATCCTAAAAAAATATAAGTATGTGAATTATTAATTGTAATCATAGATTAAAATCGCGGGAGAAACGATTTCGCGACGGCCTCTCCCAGCAGCTATAGCGGCAGCCATAGCGTTTGACAAGAAAGTAATCTCCAATTTGGCGGCTGTGGAGTTCTGCATGAGTTACCACTTGCTTATATTTTTATCCTTTCATAATTCAAACTGACTCTTTTCCTTCTCTGTGGTGAAATTCCAACTAACCCTCCAGGTATATTTTCCCCTCAGGCATCACAAGAGATGGCTTAATGAGAAAATAGGACCAGATGCTGCAAATAGTGAACATGACTTTACAAGGAAGATACTTGCTATGGATGCTAAAAACTACCATGCTTGGTCCCATAGGCAGGTATGCAGTATCTCCTTTTGATGTTCAGTACAAGTTGGATGTTTGTATCCTTTAAGCTTGTTACTTCTCGCTTGGCTGTTGTACTAGGCAATTGTAGTACCAAGAGAATATTGGTTATAATAATGTAATTGCTTTGCTATAATTGCTGCAGTGGGTTCTTCAAGCATTGGGTGGATGGGAGAGTGAACTGCAGTACTGCAACCAGCTTCTTGAGGAAGATCTCTTCCATAACTCAGCTTGGAATCAGGTCATTTGCTTGTCCTTCTTTGGATGCTTTCTTGTGTGTTTATGATATGCCATTTCACTTCAGATTCTTCACCATCGGTAGAGTTTCATGGATCATCGTGCCTTAATTTCATCAAAACAGCCTTGCAATCTCCATTCTTGTCCTTGATTTATTAACTTTTTATTGATCTTGGTTTTACCTCGTAACCAACTTCTTCCTTGCGAGTGCCTTTTTCTACCGATGAGGAATTAAGGCCAAATATTCATAATTATACTGAAGTATGTTTTTTTGTTGTTGCAACGGAGATACCTTGTGGTAACACGATCACCAATTCTTAGGGGCCTTGCGGCAATGCGCGACTCAGAAGTAGATTGCACAGTTGAGGCCATTATGGTGAACCCTCAGAATGAAAGCCCCTGGAGATACCTCAGAGGTTTATATAAGGATGATAACAATTTGCTGGTGGCTGATAATCGCATTTCTGATGCTTGCCACAAAGTCCTGAATAAGGATTGGACATGCGTATTTGCTTTGAGCTTCCTGCTTGATCTTCTTCGCATGGGTTTGCAGCCTTCAAATGATCTTAAAGGAACCATCGAAGCAATGGAGAACTCTGATCCTGAAACGGGACATGCTGATATTGCAGTAGCTGTCTGCTCAATCCTGCAGAAATGTGATCCCCTGCAGATAAACTACTGGTCATGGTACCAGACCACTCTTTCTTCTTAGACATTTGAAAATTCAGCTGAAGATAGTTTTAGCAGCATGATGTAAACTCAATCGAAGGGGTTGACGCAGTGTATGAAAAACCTTTCCCGTGATCTTGGCGCGGAGCAAAATTTGTACTGATTTTACCGGGAAAAATCAATCAATGACAACATGCCCAACAATGTCTTGTGTGAATATGTTACTGCCTGATATTCACATGTTAGCAGAATGAGAATAACCAACCAAACTCCAATGAGCAGATTGTTACAGTAACGGCCACTGGTGGTGTGAAAATCCTGAAATCTGCTTCAGTCACTTTGCCTTGTTTACAGTTGAGTCTGTTGTTGTGATCTGTACCTAATGCATGTACACGACCATCAAATTATTAGTTTTTGTACCAATGTGTGCTCGATGTAATCATCCTGTATTCCCTCCTTCCAAAATACGAGTCATATATATTAGTTTTGTCTTAATTTGAACTTACATCAACACCTACAATACCCAATCAGTATCAGTAGATGCACCTGTTTTTGTAGTGTATTTATTTGGTATTGTAAGTGCTGGTATTTCTCTTTTTTTGCCAAACTTTTATGATTGACTTAAAGACAACTAATACGACTTATATTTGGGACGGCGGAATCATGCTCTGCACATGTTTTTACTCATGTACTCACACATTATTGTCAGTTTATATTTTGTTTCCCTATGTTTTAGACACATTTATTGGAACTTGTTTGGGTGGTGGGTTCCATTTTCCCAAGTTTATAGCACCTTTTTGGTTTTTTTTTGTTAATTCAATGACGAATTTTTCCTTGTCTCACTAGGTTTTCTGGCTCTTATCATTGACTACACCATATACTTCCTCCTTTTCTTTTTTACTATGCATATTAGATTTCTCTAAAGTTAAGTTCGTAAAGTTCGTCCAAATTTAAAATAAAAAATATCAGGATTTACAACATCAAATAAATATGATCTGAACATATAGGAAGGAACATATATTCCATGATGGATATAATTATATTAATTTTGTATTGCAAATGTTATTAATATAAATTTGATCCAACTTTGAAGAGTTCAACTTTAGACAACGGTGTAAAAAGAAAAGAAATAGAGGGAGTATTGTAACTGTTCTTGCACCCTCATGGGAGGCTGCCACAGTGCCACTGCTCTTCTCGAAGTGAAGCACATCATCACCTTTCCTTATTGTGGGACCTTGTAGCAGTTTTTGTCGAGAAATGAGTTGTTTGGATTAAGGAGCTAGGTGATTCTAGTTTCTCCTGGTAGCTTTTTCGAGCCTTCGGTTTCCCTTTAAATTTGACCAGAGATTATATTTCCAATTGTGATTCATGTGAACATACTTTTGTTTTCTTAATCAAATAATACTAGGGGATGTGCATATCATGAGGTCCCCTAAACTATTCCTCTCTGCATATATTCTAAGCTGGCACCAATAAAAGATTCCTAATCAAGGCAGCGAAAAAACAGAAAGAAGAAGGGAATTAAAACATGACTTTCTTGTGCTTCCAACAAACAAACGCGCTTTCCCTCTCTAAAAAGGAAATAACAAACGCGCCCCCCATAAAAATTTCCCCAACTTACCCTAGCCCGTCCCTTTCCTCATCTCCATCGTCATTTCCCTCTCATCCTCCACCAACTCTCCATCTCCAATGACATTTCTTCTCCTATGCTCGGTCTCCTCCCAGCGCTCGAGATCCCAGTAACAACCCCGCTCATCCCACAACCTTGCCTTTGCGCATAACACTTCTAAACCTACCCTTTGATCCTTCAACTTAGTGTGTTAGGATTTGAATCTTGGCATCCATAACCATAGCCTCCACCAATCTACCGGGCCATCTCTACACCCGACAATCCTTCTATCAGTACTTGGCATCTCTCCACGCGGCTGATCCCAATTATAGTTGGCTGGAGCCATACCAAGAGTTTGAGGTATGGCGGCGTTCTCGATTTGGCACTGCAACATCTGTACTAATTTTACTAGAAATATCGATCAAATTGTTGCACCTTTTTGGATGGTTGATTTATTTTTGTTAATTCAATGTTTCCATTCTTGTTTGTCTTATGAGGCTTTCCACATGTTTTTACCTGACTAGTGAACTACATCATATATTATACTTCTTTCAAATTCATCCCTACCACCATCATTGGAGCCTCACCATAACTCTTGAAGTGTAAGGGCATTATATGTCTTTCATTGTTGTGTTACCTTATAGCAGTTTGATTGAGCCCCGGGTAGTTTGGATTTAAGATGGACCTATGTGATTCTATTTCTCCGTAGGGTTTTGAAGCCTTTGATTTCTCAAGATTTTATTTTCAATTCTGATTCACATGGCCACAAGTCAGTTCTTTTATCAAATAATGTCAGGGGATTTGTATCTCTTGGGATCTCCTCCATAATCCCTCCCTGTGGTAGTTACTCTCATGTCTCATATACTACCACCGGGTGGTAGTTACCATCATATCTTATATACTAGCATGTGGTAGTATATATATTACTTTATCATTCTATGTATATTCATATACTATATCTAAGATTTTTCAAAGTGAGTTAAATGAATAAAATTCATGTGAGTCCATGGATTTTAGTATAATTTTGAAAATACCTTCATATGGGTATGTATGAAACAATATAATAAAAACTATTACATTACTACCATGTGTAGTGTTTCCCACAACCACACCTTAGTACACATCTAACCCTCTACCACCAGTCAAAGAACATCTAACTCTACTCTTTGATCCATCAACTCACTATGTTAGGTTCTAGATATTTGGGGATCCACAACCATACATGTCTTAAATCTAACAAGTCATATACAGTTCCTACATCCCTTGTAAGAGGTCTTAGAATCTCTCGTACAATCTATCCTAACTATAGTAGCTAGGAACCATAGCAAGAGTTGAAGTTATAGCAGCGTGTTCTCGATTTGGTAGTGAACTCTCAAGGATGTGATAATCACAAGAAAGTTCCATTTGTTAAGTCTTGCCATTGCCATCTTGTTTCTTCGGAGTTGTGCTCCTAGATTTAGCAGATTGGTTGTGTATGTACGTAGTGGCTAAAGTTGATGGTTCTCTATTCTAACCTTTTATTTCCATATGGTATTTGGTTTGCTCGAGTTCCAATGGTAAATGATAAAATTGCTGCATTCTTATAATTTTTGTGAATACTTAAACAAAATACATGTCAGTAGATTTATAGACATTTTCACACAACATATATGTCATGGCCATTTGGTGTCTTCATACTTTGCCATTGTCCATATGATTTCTATTGATAATTATTTCGTATAAACACATGCAAGTACATACGAGTATCCGCTTAATGGTGAGAAAAAATTGTGATGCATCCAGATTCTAATTTTAGGTAGTTCATTGTCAATAAAGCCTATATTTGAAATCATATGCTGGCCATTTGGGGCACGATAAGTTTAGCAAAAACTAGAGTGGCATGCACATGTGAATATTGTTCCAAGTTTCAAGCTTCTTATTTACATTCCTCTAAGTGTGGTGGGAAATTTGTTAGCATGTTCCCCACAATATACTGGGGGTGCGCATTAGGCGATTCGAAGGAGTTTACTGTACATAGAAGTAATTTGTGGTTGTGCGAGTTAAACTACCTATCTTGTGTTTTTTACCTTATATAACAAGGATGTCATCATGTGAAAAAATCTTTCATCTCATTTTTTATGTGCAAGAGTTTTGTGAAGAGGCCCACTTGGACTGCAGAATTCCTATAGGCTTTATAATCGAGATCCAAGATTTTTTTATCCTTTTCTGTTTGACCATTTCTTTGATCAAAAGAATGTGTAGGTGATGCCATTTCTTATGAATTCTAGAGGCATTACTGTTCCAACATATTCAAAGCACATATTCTGACTGTAGTTTGGTAGTCTGGAGCAAGATTTCTCGCAATACTCGAAAGAAAACCTCCTCGATGACTGCTCGTTAGAAGAAATCCGACAACATTGTGGTCTCTCCTAAAGTTGGAATTATCACTCGCGGCAGAATGTCAAACATAAATGATATGGCTTCCTTGGAAACAAATCACACTACAGTTCCAAGAGGTATCTTTCTTACTTTCATGTTGCAAATATGAAGATAATTCTAATGAAAATATTGCATATAAATTAATCTTTTGTCACATATGATGAAATACCAGGACATTGTGTGACACCTACCTTCGAAATAACTGTGCAGTCGGATGAGGGGCTTAATCTTTCTGTGGATCTAAATTCCACTCCATCAGCGTACACTAAAATATATTCACAACAACTTGGGGATGTTTCTAGAGAGGCTCAACTTGAAGCTCCAACAGAAAATGCAGAGGTAGAAGAAATGGCTGTGGAAGACAATATAGGTTGTGGTGACATGTTACCACCAGTTCCTAGAGGGGCAGAATTTAAAGCCCAGGTAGAAAATGAAGAGAGGGAAGAAGTTTTGATGGAAGAAGAAATAGGTTGTAATGACAAGTTGATAGTTACTGAAGGGACCCAACTTACCCTTAGCAGGGACAAACATGAATCCCCTGTGAAAACTGAACTAGTGGCTCAAGAAGTAGTAATGGAAGAAGATATAGGTTGTGACGATAATTTGCCAGGTTCAAATCAAGTGCTGATCTCACATGCCAATCAAGATGTTGGCTTTACAAATCATTCCCCTGATGAGGTCTTGAACCACACAAGCTCAACGCTACCATTTATTGGTTCGGTAATTTCATTGAACCATTTATAGTACTATTTTTTTCCCATTTGATTCTACTATATACTTTACTTCCTTTCATCGAAGAAATATTGTCTTGGGTACTTTTTTAATCCATTTTTGATACTGCCGCAATAGTGCATGTTTCTTTTCACCAAACTAAACATTTACTTGTTACTCCCTCTGATCCAACATAAGTGTAACTTTAATTCAAACCTGCTGACACTTATTATGAATCGGAGGGAGTACTAATAAAATGAAAAAGTTTAGCCTTTCATTGTTTCTTCCCTTCTTTGAGTCCGATA